TAATAAAGGAACGCTCTATTGATGTCTCTTTCAACACCAATCCCATTTTGCCAAGATTATATGTTCCATTAGCATTTCCCATTTTGACGGATTTTTATAATGGCGATGCATCTTGTTCAATACCAATTCATTTTGATAATAAAGACCTAAATTATATATTCCATCAACGTGCCTCATCATCACTAACTTTTGATAATAGAAGAACGCCTCATACTCATTCTTTTAAACTCCAAAATTTCTCATTTTTGCGGATTTTTCATGATAGAAAATTTCATTGTATTCATACTTTTCAGTCACGAAACCATTTTGATAACGAAAGCCAACATGAAACATTCCATTAGAGATTTTCATTTCTGCAGATTTTTGATAGTGAATAAGTGTTTTACATTCATCTTTTTTAACGCGAATTCCATTTTTTCAAACTAATTAAATGCTTTTTTCAATTCCAATGCCATTTTTATAGCAATAACCCACCTGGAATATTCCATCCAGACTACCCATCTTTGCAGATTTTGATAATAACTAAATGCCTTACACTCATATATTTCAACACCTATTCCATTTTGTTAACAATTACCAACTTGAAATATTCCATATCAGCTGATTTTTAGTTATTTATTTATTTCGACCCCAATTCCATTTAAATAACAATAATCAAGAACGTATATTCAATCTATATGTTGGGATTGGAACCACCTAAAATTTTTCTAATCGTTTAACTGTTTAACCGTGTTAAACGTTTAATTCAACCGGCATTAAAATAATTTCGGCCCACGGCCAACATAATTCTGCCCGGAACTATAAACCAATTTTTTAAACGGCTAAACGATTCCAATCCCTATCTATATATCCTAACTCGACAGATTTTTGATAATGAGAAAATACTTCTTTTTCATCCTTTTCAGTCTCAATTCCGTATTTGTAGCAATGACCAACTTGAAATATTCTATCTGATTTTTTGAATCGTAGTGGATTCTTGATAATGGAAAAATTTTCATTTTTTACAACTCTGATCCCATTCTGATAACATTTACCAACTTGAAATATTCCGTCAAATTTCCCATATCAGCAGACTTTTTATCATTAAAAATGCTTCATGTTCGTTCTTGTCAATCTTAATTCCATTTTCATAGCAATGATTATCTGATTTAGCAGCATTTTGGTAAGATTAGAATGCTTAACTATTTATACAACAGTTTCCTGTATAAACTTGAACAATCCAATTTTTATTCATAAATGACTAAAATGCTTTATTATAAGTTGGTTTATTCCAATATCAAATAATAAAAAAATCCTAGTTGCAGTTATAATTTGCATTTGCTTGATTTTACCGTAAGATTTCAGCTTCATGAATCTGAGATTTTCAAATATTCGAAAATATCGATATTTTTCAGAAATACGGGATTTCTAGTATTTCTGGTAATTGAATCAGGTGCAAAGTCGTGATATAAAGATTAATATTTTAAATAAAATAATAGAAATATAAATTTTATTTTATAATTAAATTTGTGAATACTCTGACAATATTTAGTAATGGTTCATCAGGTAATAGCTCTGATTCAACAATGATTGCGTCTTCGAAAATTGAAGATTCTTTGTCATTTGTAATTTAATAAGAATTGTATTCAAATCAATACGTTGAATAGGTTCTGTCTTCCTACATTCAGTGTAAACTCACTAAATCAACCAAAATTTCACTTCCAAAAAAGACCTGATTTAAATCATGGAATGGTATACAACATCTCGAAATTTCCCAAAAGATATACCAAGGCTGCATATATCAGAACTTTTAATTGGTACAACTCCGAATATTCTAGTTCCAGTCGTCATTGTGCTATTAAGGCATTTAGAAAGACCAAAATTTGTTGTTTCGTCATGAGCAAGAATGTTTTTGATGTGCTGATTTAAGAAAAATTATAGAGAATCTAGTAATTATAATGAATAGATATTGGTTGTCAAATCACGAAGTGCTATATTAAGTTCTTTGTGAATATATGTTATACCTTCTGTTATTCGAGTTGCAAAATTTAATTTTTCTTCCCATTCAATATTACTCCTATGTTTTGTTAAAGACACCCTCAAATCTCCTTGATTAACAAATTTTACCACAACATAATATCGTTCGTCATCTTAGTCTTTGTATGTAATAAACTTGACATTGGTTCAGAAAATATGAAAAACCGATAAATCAAATTAAGTAAATGGAAATAATGACTATAAAATCAGAATCTGATAAATGGTCCGAAGTAAATCACAATTTTCAATAGGCTAACTAAATAATATTAACGTTATGAATGAAAAAATCTATTAAGTACGTATTAAAGTTCCGTTTCAAACTACATTACGCCAGATGCAGAGTAACACGTAAGCTATAATTCTCCAAATTTCACTTGTTCTATATACCTAACATTGCATAGATGGCATCCACTTTGTATCGACGGTTAGAGTCCTCGCTCCGCTTCAGGTAATTATATTTATAAAATCTTCTAACCTCATTAATCAAATCTTAGCATTCATGTCACCATCTTTCTCTCCAATAGAGACTCCCTTTAATGCTATCATCACTTTTTGAATTGTTAGTAATTTTATTAAAATGCTCAAAGTATAATTTTAAGCCCACGTTTATTAATAACAATTTGAAACAAAAAAAAAAAAGACCAATCACGATAATTTAGAGCGATTGGATCTCCAATTTAAGAAAAGTTCTACATGGGGAGCCGGACATCAGCTAAATTCTTAAGATTAAAGCTCTAAGGTTTTCCACTTAACATACACTAAGAAAGTAAATGTATAGTTATAAAGGCATACAAAATAAGTGGGCTATAGGCTGATCCGTACGTACCTAATCTAGACATTGAATATTACCAGTTTGTGTTTCGCTAATATAACTTGGCCTTCAGTTCACGTTATAAATGATCCAATTATTTTTTATCAGCGATTACGTATCAATTTATTATACTAGTAAAGATACTCGATGAAAAAAAGTAAATTCCTTTTAGAAAACAAGATCTAAAGACCGAAAAGATTTCTAATGATCATCTTAATAGCAACGCTAATACATTATCTAGATTTTCGTTATAAATTAATATAAGTTTGATTATTAAATTGAGTCATATCATAGGCTTCGAGTCTAAATACGTACGTATGTATGGAATTGCACTTCAGGATCGAGTATATAGCAAATATGTAATGTATTGTAGAAATTAAGATGGTATGTATAGTAAAGAAATTTTTTGAGGTTTTACCTATAACTAACCTCTATTAGTAAAGATAAATTTTATAAGTTTTGCTAACCATACTTACTTTCGTAAAATTTCTTAGCTTACATCTATACAAACAATGGTATACATCACTTATATATAAAATAATATCCTTCAGGACTTGAAGTTAGGGTTGTATTACACAAAATTACATTTTTCATTGCATGAAATTACATTATAATTTACGAAACTGTAATGTAACTTTACAATATATAGCGCATTGTCACATGATAATTGCACTGGCATTACAAAAGTTTTGCCGACATTAATATATATCCAACATTGTGCTCGGAACTTTAATTTTATATTTATTTTTATGTTAGCTTTACAAAAATTTTGGCCCAAATTATTCACAGGATCAAAATTATATGTAATTTTGATTCCAGAAACTTACAAACTTACGTAAAATTACCTGTTCGTAGTCTTGCTTGAAATTACCAATTTATGTATAATAATTTCAAAAGGGATTAATTTTGACCATGTGTAACTTTGTTACGACTTCGTACGTATAACTTAACTTTTGATTTTTGCGTTATTTATTAATATTTTTAGGAGAATATTTGGACTACACATCAATTTGGGTAAAATGAACATAAAAATCGGAAAGAGACGTATCAAAACCCAAATATAATTCTTTTTGTTAAATTATTTAATATTCAAATTATTCGACTCATGAAGAAAAAAATATATATATAGTCGATTATTGTTCCAAATTTTAGTCAACATAAAAGCAAACTCTAAACCCACAGTAGAGATTGGACTCGAGTCAACTCGTAGCTTAAATAACATAGTCTTGACTCGAGTTAGTTCGAGTTAAGACTATGTTTTTTAAGCTACGAGTTGACTCGAAAATAAATTACTGATTTTAAAAGATTCTCCTTACAAACTATTGATTTTTTATACGTACACTATTGATTTTAATGATTGTCATGTGTAATTTTCCGGCAACATATTTTAATTATTTTCATACACGCAAATACTTTTTTTACGTCAACGTATTCCAATCTATGTATTGCGAATACATCATTCCTTTTAGATAAAGCATAAAACTTGTACTATGATTTCATCATGTCAACTTAACGAATGAAATGATTTCGTCTTAAAGTACATCATTATAAAATGACATACAATAAATTTTAAACTTGAAAATAGATGCAATCATTTGATTATTTATTTAATTGATTCATTTATAAATACCTATTTTTTTTTTAAAAAAAAACAAAAGAAAAAAATTAAACATCAACGTTTATTCGATTTTAGGAATTATTTCATGCCTCGTCAACGTATCGACTTCACACCTGTACACAGGAGTGAATGTAATAAACGTTCTAATGGCGTCTTATCTCACGATCTTGAGTGTTCTCATACCAATCAGTCTGAGCAAAAATATTTAATGAGAGGTAGAAGTCGTGATCGTTGCTGTTGGAATTATGATTCAAGTAATAGCAGTAGAAGTTCGTCAAGAGATGACCTTGATCAAAGTCATTATTCTTCAATATATCAAAGTCAACGTTCTCACAGTAAAAACAGAAGGCGCGAAAGATCTCCTGGTGACCATATTAAAACAAGGTACATTCATTTCTTAATTATAGAAAATTCTATGTTTTCTCGAATACCAAAATTCATCATTCTTTCAATTGTTATAGAAGGCATCACCTCTATGAACGTCGAAGAAATCACGAATCTTACTCGCATCACTCCATTTGCACAACGCCTGAACCACCTTACGTACAAAACCTAATGAAACAAATTAACAATTTAAGTCTTCAACTGGAAATAATTCAAACTAAAATATCAGGTGTACCGCCAATTCAAACTTCTCCATCACTTGCATCTATCAATGTACAGAATGAAAATGAAAATCAACAAAATGCTATGTTACTACTTGAAGCTCCCTCTCATTTAGAAACATCACCAGAAATTCATGAATCTTTAATTCCGTCTCCTAAAAATCTGGAACCCTTTCCATCATCTCCCAATAAAACAAGAAAAATGCCCTCCCAAATAAACAATGAAGTCGGACAAGTCAATCAATTCACACAATCGTCTCTTGAACCCATGAATTCCGTTTTTAAGCAAACTTTTCATGATGAAATTGTTAAAATTTTGGATCATTTACCAACTGAGCAACAATTTGACGTTACTAAAAATTTTACCCAACAATTAAATCATGTAACTTATGTTACTGCTCCTGCCGTTAAAGCTTTAATTAGTCCTAGATTGGTGTTCACTGATAATGAACTAATTGCAATAATAAGACAACTCCATAAAAGTCGTAGGGGGAAGTGGAAAAGTCGTGAGAAATTAGAATCACATAGGGCACGTCGTCGTATCAGTTCACGGACCAAACGAGTAAATATTCCCACTTTTTATTTTAACAATTTTTTTTTTTTTTTGGTTTTTTATTTACACTAATTTCTGTTTAATTACTTGAAAATAAGAAAATATTCAGTCGAATTCGTGGATTACAACATATGGTTCGTGTAGGTGATTCAATTCTTAATGAATGTCAACCACCTACCCTCAATTGGGATGAATATCTTCGTGATTTGGAACGCGCTGTAAATGATCCCGCATTGCAATCATGTGAAGAATCTGATACTGATGAAGCTTTGGCAAATCAAGAAAGTGATGAACGCCCAACGATTATTCGGAATAACAATAGAGTTATAAAGGTTTACGATAAACCGTGGAGATCGACCAAAGTATGTTCCTGCTTATATATGTTGTAAGTGAGAATGTAATTTAAATGGTTTTGGAATTCCTAGATAAATTAGGGTTAGAGTGTTCATATGATAAAATTAACCCCCAAAACGGGGTTTTATATATAAATTCCGAATCCACTTAAATTCCGTTTCCACTTACAATATCTGTTTAATCATACTAAATCATACTAAATCATACTAAATTATACTATATCATACTAAATCATTCATCATTTGGCAATTAGATTAAGTGTCTTTTACGTCGTTGCGACGAAGTTGGCGGATCCGTTTACGGATTAATCAGAAAAAGATGGTACAATGATCAATTATATGTAAATAACAATAGCCATCCAAACGAACATATTCCAGATTGGTGGATTTCCACAAATTGGTCTCCTAATATCGAATCTAATGAAAATCATAATGAGGTAGAACGAGAAAATGATAAAGAGAATGATGATGATGATAATGAAATTGATGCTTAACGTTTAGCTTTAAAATCTGTTTTGCTTAATATATGTAATAATTTTTGCTCTCTATGCATAGCCAATTCCTCATTAAATCATATATATCTTTTTTTTTTTTTTTATACGAATTGCTTGTCTATTTTTCGCATGTAAAGTAAAAATTTTATAATTCGAAATTATATATGCAATTATCAATAAATATAAATTGATATATATAAACGTAATTGGGCTGGAGCTGAGAGAAACTTAGGGCATATAAATTCAGCAAATGAATTGCTTAAATATTAATCTTTTGTTGCAAGAAAGCTTCATCAACACATAATTTATTCATGTAAAAATTTTGTGCGACATATCTATTTCGACTGAATTAAAAATAAATAATGTAAATCGATAAGTAATTGTTCGAAAAAAGGAAAATAATATTAGTTCAATGACTTCTAAAGAGTATTAATATTATATAGTTGTTGAAGCATACCTGTAACATACAACATATAGTATTGGCATATAATTTGAAGAGTGCGTGACCAAATAATCACTTCTGATTATTAATTGCGTCGAACCATAATATCGCTATGCAATTGATTAGAGATGTTATCTTTCCAGAACTCGATTCGTCTATGCTTGAAACCCAAACTGATTAAATATCGAAATTTTAATTACGGCATAAGAGAGGGTATTATGACGCAAGGTCGAAATCAACCGATTTTTAACACCAATGGATTCGCCTTATCAAAGCGAACAATGGTATAAAAATCCTTATCGGAACTACTGGGCCACAAGATGAGTAACGATAATAAAAAACTTGAAAATTTATTAAGGTGAGATATCGTACTATAAATGCATTTAATAATGATAACTGAAAATAAAAAACTTCATTATCTCATAAATTAGTAACCACAGCATTCATTATATGTTACATTATGTTTTTTCCGATATACTAAACCAATCTGGACAGCAATGAAGATTGAAAAATATTTAAATAAATGTGCGCAGTATACATTGATTAAGACCTGATATTAGATTGCTACAAAATTAGGTTACAAGTAATAATCCTGTAATTGGGCATTATTGTGTATTTAGAGAATTTTATTATTACTTATATTGTAGAAAATTGTATGACTAATTAGAAGGAAGCAACATACTGTATTTCATTATAATATTGCACTATGAACACAATATTTAATTTTTAGGAGAATATAAAAAGTATATTTTACTGATTCATAAATATTTATCTTGAGTGTGCACAATAAAAAGATACGTATCTGAAAATATACAGCAAATATAACAAATAATTTTGAATATAATATCAAATATCAAAAAGCTAATACCAAAACTACAACAAATGCTAATACGAAAAATTACAAAACTTATAAAAAAATAAAAGCAGAAAGTAATACAAAAAAATTTTAAAAATGTGAAATTCTAGGCACAATGCTCGAGCCTGAATAATCTAATATTCGTATGCTTATTTCTCTTATCATTTTTGTTAAGAGGTTTAAGACTTGTATCAAAAAAATAAGACAATGTGTTTTTATTATATGAAACCTCGTTAGCAATAACACGTTCAATAAATAATTTAAAGAATAGATACTGTTCTAGACAACTAATAAGCTTCTTCATGAATTAAAATGGTTTGCTTCAATCAATTACTCGTTATTTCCTTAGAGAATATAATTAATATCGTCACTTATATCCGCACTCAGGCTTATATCATAGGAAATTCACAATAATTCCAGGTTTCTGGAGTTTTTATAACATTGTTTAAAGAAATTTTTATGCCACAAAAGGTTCTTTTAAATTGGAATAAAGATAAGATAAAAATTCGTTTCAAAAATCACAAATAGTTACCAAACGATATAATAAAAGTGTTATTTCAAATTTTGATTATATTTTAAATAATAACATTTGTGATAAAGTGTGTTTTATATCATTCAGTTATCTTTAATTCATTCAATCCACTATCTGTTAAATAATTATAGTTAATATTAAAAAAATAAATTAATTTTATTTAGTAAAAATATAAAATAGTTACCTGGATAATGTGAAGTAGTATATTCAATGAATTGGGTTTTGTAAATGTCATCAGGATTTGTTTGTGAATGTGTGGTTTAATAAATTCACTATCATAAATTTTATCAGGGTCTGCTTGTAGATGTGTGCTTTTAATATTTTTTAATATTTCTTCTGACTTGATTAATTCTAACAAAATATTTTCATCACTCTGCCATTTTGTAAAAGTCTCATATATCTCTGTTGCCGATGGGCGGTTTACTGATTCTTTATCCCAACATTTCTTCATTAAGCTTACGTAACATTGCGGAACGTTCTCAATAACTGTTGGTCGTAAATCATTTCGGCATATTTCTAATTGAATCTGTGTTCTAAATCTTGATTGTAAGATACAGGTTTACCATACAAAATTTCCCACATAATTATCCCAAATGAGTAAATATCTGATGCCGTTGTATAATGACCTCTGTCTAAAGTTTCTGGTGCTATATATGGTAAAATTCCATAAACTCCACGACGTTCTGACTTTAATGCTATACTTGTTGACATTGAAAGCCCCAAGTCTGCAATATATGCACTATATAATTCATCTTGCAAAATATTACCACTATGTAAATCTCGGTGAATAAGTTTTTGAGAATGAATTAATTGAAGATCATAAGCAATACAATCCAATAATGTTAATTTTTTTTTCCATTCCATTTGTGCTATAGAATGAAGATTACCGCGCAAAGAACCTTCAGATGCGTATTGCATTACAAGAATATAATTTTTAGAAACATTATCTTTTGAAATTCCATAGCACCTTAAAAATGTTGGATTTTTATTGCCAATATCACAATATGCTTTTAACTTTTGCATCAAAGATAAGTAGTTAAATATAAGCTATCAGAACTTAAAACATATTAGCACATAAATAAAATTACCTCTTTTACAAATTCCTCATCATACACATTTGAATTATGAAGCAATTTAAGCGCAACAGTGCGATTAATGTCATTACACCTCCACCCAGCATAATATACTGTTGCAAATCCACCTTTTCCTATAACTTTAATATTTTCGAATTCATTATAAGAAATCCAAGATAACGAGTATTTGCTTTCACCTAATATTACTTTTAAATTTTCATCAATATCTAAATTATCAATTGTTCGCCTATTTGTTACTAACAAATGTTAATTATTATTAGTTTGTTTGAATTGTCTGACAAATAAATATAATCAATAATAATTAATTACATGAGATTTGTTTCCGTTCTCTAACAATTTATCTTAATTACTATTAAAAAGAAATGTATAACTTTATCATGATAGCATAAAAATAACTTACATCTGGTACCATTCATTAGCTTTTTGTAAGTCTCTTGTTACTCCAATTCCATTTCGATAATAATGACCTACAAAATATATTCCATCAATGTTCCCCATTTCAGCAGATTTTTGATAATAAATAAATGATTTATGTTCATTCTTTTCAACACCAATTCCACTTCGATAAAAACATCCAACCATATAATTTCCTTTACCATGACCCATCTCTGCAGATTTTTGATAATAAATGAATGCCTTATGTTCATCCTTTTCAACTCCAATTCCATAAAGATAACAATATCCAACTTGAAATATTCCATTAACGTTTCCCATCTCTGCAGATTTTTGATAATAAATGAATGCCTTATGTTCATCCTTTTCAACTCCAATTCCATTTTGATAACAATATCCAACATTAAATTTTCCATCAGCGTCACCCATCTCTGCAGATTTTTGATAATAAATGAATGCCTTATGCTCATCTTTTTCAACTCCAATTCCATGTCGATAACAATATCCAACATTAATTTTTCCATTAGCGTCACCCATCTCTGCAGATTTTTGACAATAAATGAATGCCTTATGTTCATCCTTTTCAACTCCAATTCCATGTCGATAATAATATCCAACATTATATGTTCCTTTAGCATGACCCATCTCTGCAGATTTTTGATAATAAATGAATGCCTTATGTTCATTCTTTTCAACTCCAATTCCATGCTGATAATTATATCCAAGGTTATAAGGATCTAAATTAGTTGATTCTCTATGATGAACCGAATTATTAGAACCCATTCTTACTTTTAAATATGTCGTTTAAGTGTACTACTATTTTAGATTTTTGCTTCACTATCGAATGGTACGTCTGTACGTACAAATTATTATAGCTTATATCGAACTTACGACTTTTAAACTTGAATTTGAGGTTTAAATTAGTGTTGAGGAGAATTGTTCCAATGTTACGTACGTACGTACGTACGTACGTATACTGTATAACAATTTACGGTTACGCAAAAACATAACAGTCAATCGAGATGTCACACAAATCGACAAAATCACGTTATTAAAATTTTTACCTAAATATTAAATTTTTAGTCATAACACGACATCCTCAAAACAAAGAAGTTGCCAAGGCTTCAATAAATCGAAAATATAAAGAACGTGAAAAACTAATGTCATATTATAACATGTGAACTCCTTCAAAGATGGGCAATGATTTTATCATTTTCTTAAGAATCTTTTTCAGTTTGCAGTAATAGATGTGAATAATCGAAAACTTTTTACAAAATTATTTTTGAAATAAATTATTTTTGAAATGTGTTATAAAATGTAGAGAAAATGCACGTCCTAAAAGAAAACAGTTTTAAGATCATATATAATATAACATGATCAGGAAGATTAAGAATCGTTTATTTCGTGAAGAACTGCATGAAAAATCTTTAGTGTACTAACAAAAAGTTTTCTTTAAACGAGGTTATTATATATTTACTAACATCTAACTCTAAT